CCTAAATAGATGTCACGGAATTCCATTGAGTGGGGCAGTTTGTTGTTGAGAACAGCAAGGACTTTGGAATGAATGTGAGTCCTGGTTCCCTCAATTTCCAACTTTAAAAAATTGAGGAGGTTTCTTAACTCTAATCCCCATTTCCTCGTTTGTAGAAAAGAAACCATATCATTAACCTGGACGGGTTTTTATAAAGATTTCAAATGAGATAATGTAAAAGATCTCAATTAATGTGTTTCTTTTCCCCTCTCAGACCAAAACTTGTCATGAGGAATATTTGTCTAAGGTCAAGAGCTAAGAGTTAGCAATACTGAACTATGGTCCTCACATATCAGTAAATCCATGATTTTTCTTCTTTCCTGTTACTTACTGCACTTAAATCATGAAAATCCTAGTAGTGGTGGGGTGGAGGGGGTGAACTTACTATAAAGTTCATTAAAGATTGAGTGCAGAAATGAAGCACAGTGTTTGTGCCAGGGATCACCAACTCAAATATCTACAGGGATCATCCCTGTCATAGAAATAAGAGAAGCAACTTGGGTATAACAGTAGGAAAAGATGAAGATGATGGCAAACTCTAAAGTGAGCATTGGCAACAACTTGGTTTACCCCAACTGTCTCCATGCAAGGATGCAAACCCAGTGATGTTAGAGCTTTTAGTTTTTGAAGAGAAGCCAGAAGTAGTTTGTGAAATTTTCTGAATTCTAAACATTAGCATCAAGTTCGATTAAAAACAAACACACCCTGTAGGCCAAATAAGAATCATTTGTGCCAAATTCAGTCCATGGACCATCAGGTTGCAACTTCTGATTTATAAATCATCATGATGATCACCACATGGCTGACCCTGGCAGAAGCTCAAAAGTGGTCATAAACGTGAACCACTTCTTCATTACCACCCATAACTGGCTTTGTTCTCCTTCACTTTGTATTCAACAAACACCAACAAAATTAAGCTAAGGAGAACTTGGAAAGGACATTTCAGAGAAGTAAATTTGCCTGGACTAATGATCTCCAGGGAGAAATTTTACCCAAGATCTCTTCAAAGCTTTCTTCGACAAGTCCAGGTACCCTTGGTATTGAAAGATCTGTCTTCTGATGCAGGGCAAAAGACAAAAGAGACAGGCCAGCCTGGACTCAGGAGCTCCCCCTCCCCCATCATGGCCAGCTGACCTTGACAGGAAGAGAGGTAGAAAGTGCCTGGCTCTCAAGCCCACTGACATTTGGAAGCACAGGTGCAGCCCAGAGCCCTGGCAGGATTTGGCCAGGCGTTCCTGTGACAAGCCCAGGCCTGAAAGGGAGACTCCCCTGACAGTCTGAGCAGGAGGCTGAATCTGTCACTGTCTGGCTGGCAGGGCTGAAAGGGTTGTCTGCGGCAAGCGCAGATACCGGATGCCTGAATAGGGACTCAGTCAAGCAGGCATTTGTCACAGAAGACTCCCCCAACTCATATTTCACAGGGTGATCAGAAGCGGTGAGGCAGGGACCAAAGTGGCTCATCACCAGAATATTATCAATGGTGGTTATCATACAGGGACAGCTGGGCTGGAGGCCAGGGAAGCCCTCTTTGGAGACAGCAAATGTTCAATGCCCCGGGGATGGTGGGGATAGAGCCAGCCAGGCCCCACCCCACTACTTCCATACATCAATGCATGGTGCTCCAACACTACCACCTTGAGGCTCCAGAAGGAAGGAGCTCAGAGAGGCTATTCTATATTGGGAAGAAGGCACACAATTCCAGGTAATTCCAGCCTGGGAGCTGAGCCCTGCCTAGGTTCCTTTCAGACCCAGGTCCCTGGCCTTTTGTTTCAACAGCTTCTCCCAAGTTAAAGCAAGGCAAGCCCCTTGGGATTTATCCTTCTAAGGAAGAGGGTTTTATTTTTCTTTCATCATTGTTACTCTACAATGTGCTCTATAAGACTTGATTCTGTGCTCAATCAATGTGATTGAATGGAAAAAAAATCAAAGAGGCACAGGAAATGCCATCAAATTTAGTTTTGTCTCAGGAGTTTCACAAAGAAATGAGTTATTTCCTCCTCTCTTTCTAATTATTTTAGCAAGGCAATCGAGGGTAGTGATTACTGCCAAGTGTCTCATCCATTAACTGAATGGCCCCTACAACCATGTTCCCCAGCCCACCCTGCATTGTAAGTGACTTACCTCTTTGGGAAACTTGAGAACCAAGTTATAATAATAAGCAAAAGACAAAACTTTTTTCAGAACAACCATAGCTTTTTCAAATTCAAAAGCCAGATGATTTTGACATGACTAGCAGATTCATATAGTTGCAAATTGGGCAATAATTAGATAATTGCTAAAATACAAATATTCAGGTATGGTGACAGCAATAATATGAAGAATGACCACTAACATTTATTGGACACTTTGCATGTAATAAGCCTTCTTTGAAGCATTTGCATGGACATTACTGAGTACTCACAATAACCAATGTAATGGAAATAATATTAACCAGTAGTACAGGGGAGGAAACAAAGGTCCAAAGGCTTTATTAAATTGTACAAGTCACACAGTTTGGAAAAGGCAGAATTGAGATTACAAGTGAAAAGTACCTTATACATCATTAGTACTAAAAATGTATGTTGATTAGAGCTGCTAAAGGGTGGTGGTGAAATAACTCAATTTAAGTAAGAACACCTTGACTTAGTCTTACTATGTAAACAACACCTACCAATTACTGAGAAAAAGATGACTACTCTAACAGAGAAATAAGCAAAAAATAGAAAATTCACATAAAATTTTGACAAGTGAACAAAAATTCATGTAAAATCTCACTAGTACTCACATAATTGAAAATTAAAATGACATGATATGCTATCTTTTACCTATCAAATTAACAAATATCTCTCAAAGTTATAACATCCAGCATAGGTGAGAGTGTACTATAGCCACCATTGGAAGAAGTGTTGATTTTTACATTTCTAGGAGCAACTTGATAATGTATGTCAAAATCCTGAAAGTGGTTTATATCCTCTATGGAAGTTTTAAAACACGGCTATAAATTCTTTGGTATTCTTCACATTCAGTAGTGGCGTCTATCCCTTCTTTATCCCTTCCTTATGAACTGAGGTGTGCTTGTAACTGCCTTGACCAATACAGTATGGCAAAAGTGATACCACAAGACCTCTAAGGTTAGTTAATACAGCCCATGAACCTCTGCCTCACACCACTGGACTCCTCACTCTTAGAGCCCTGAGCCATTGCCTAAGTACAATTATACAGAGGCCATATCTAGGAACAACAGTCGACAGTCCTACCTAAGCCCAGTCTTGGCGTCTTATCAGCTGGGGTCCCAGTGCCATGGAGCAGAGAACAACCATCCCTACTGTGTTCTTTCTGAATTCTTAACCCACAGTATCCATGGGCATAATAAAGTGGTAGTTGTTTTAGGTCACTAAGTTTGGGGTCAGTTTGTTAAACAGCAATCAATAAGTGGAACAACCTCTTACGCAGTAATTATTCTTCTGGAAATCTAAGGGAATAATTAGGGACATGCAAAAAGAATTATGAACAAAGATGTTGAGGGCATCATTGTTTAAGACGAAAAAATGTGAAACATAAATATGAACAATAAGGATTTTTTTCATCCCCATGATGAAAAGCAGCAATTTAAAATCAGATTTTGGAAGACTATTTAAGATTATAAAAAGTCCTCATAACATATTGTTTAAAGGGGGGTTTTACAATAACATAGATAGCAGAAGTTTTCTTTAGAGAAAAAAATGGACATATACCTATGCATTAAAATTATATAAAAACACTCCAAAATTTAAGCAGTAGCTATTTCTGAGTTGTGATATTATAGATGATTTTGATTTTATTCTTTATGATTTTCTGTACTCCTAATATTTCATAAAGTTCATAAAGGGAGTAGACAATTTGCTAATGACCTCATTAAATCTGTATGCATTTTAATACATTTTCAGAAGACCTGAATTCAAATTCCAACAAGTTCTATTTCAATGTCTTTGGAAAAACACATTATCTGCCTAAACTTTAATTTCCTCATCTAGAAAACCAAAATAACAATATTTACCTCAAATGATTTTTGGGGGGTTTTAGGATAGATAGGCCACTTTTAATTTTTCCTAACTAGATATCAGAGAAAAATCTATACGCTTAAAAAACTTCTTTTTAAATTTGATACATAATAGATGTATACATTTTTGAGTACTTATGGGATACATGTGATTTTTCTTAAGAGACAAAGTCTTACTCCATCACCCAGGCTGGAGTGCAGTGGTCCAATCATAGCTGACTGCAGCCTGGAACTCCCAGGCTTAAGGGATCATCCCATTTCAGTCTCCTTAGTCATTAGGCTTATAGGCATGAGGCACCATGCCCAGCTGATACTTTGATACATGCAAACCATATGTAATGACCCAGTCAGGGTAGTCCCCTCAAATGATTTTTATGAGGTTAAACGAAACAGAAACTATGCAAGTTCCTGGAATTCATCTATGTACCTAGTGGGCATTTAATAAGTGCCTTTTTAATTCACTGATAAGTCTTTTGTCCAACTTTTCAAACACAGTCAGAATGAGCATTTGAAATAAATATCTACAGCTCTCAAGTGAATTAAAAAACACTAAGGCTTGCCTTCCTATCTCACTGCTCATCCAAAACAAGTAGGATTTGGTAAAAGCTGCAAAACACTCTACCTCTCCCTGTCACACATTGACACTGAGGACGGACAGCAAGCCTTCCTGCTATGACAAGTAGATAGAAAACAAAAACTTGGGGTAAAATGAACAGGTTGGTCAGTAATTGATTTTGCCATCTGCATGTGGAAGCCATTTCTGCTATTTTATATGTTCCCACCATGACTGATGAAAGTTTTAGAACAAAAGCCTTCCAATGAGCTGTGAAGAGCTACCCCTTTTGTCTTTCCGGTATATCTTCTCCTTTTTATCATCCCTCCTTCCCATTCCCATGCCACATGCCAGTTATTGATAATAGTTAATAATAACAGGAGCTAATACCTGTTGAGAACTGCTCTGCACCAGGCACTGTTCTCAGCACTCTGTTTGTATTAACTCACTTATCTTCAGCATAATGCTACCATGCAGGTACTATTATCATCCCTGTTTCTTCTATGAGGAATCTGAAACACAGAAGAGTTAAACGACTTTCCCAAGGTTACACAGCTAGAAAGCAAGGAGACAAATCTAGTCAGTCAAGCTCCAGGGCACATTGTCTCTAACTCTTATCTATACTGCTCTGTGTAATTAATATAATGACTTGATCCACTATATAAAACTTGGCACGAGGAGATGAGCAACAGATAACCTTTCACTAATCTTATTAGCAGGACGAAGTTCAATCCTACAGCCTAACTCAAGGACTGCTCCTTCAGTAATGGTATTATAAATAGAGGAAAGGAACAATTGCTCTTCCACACTGACCCCTGGGTTGCCCTCCCTCAAGACACTATCTTTAGTAGGATCCAAAGCTCCTTGGATATGTTCTATTAATACCTGTGCCCTGTGTCTGGTGCACCATCTAGCCCATCTTAGGGCTTAATAAGGATTTGTTTAGTTGAACTGAAGAGGGCCTACCCAAATAGGCAGTTTCTACCTAATTCTAGTCTCCCAAGAATTTCTCTTCAGAAGAAACACACACACACACAACACACACACTCACTCACAATGATGAATTGTGAAAAATAAATGCTATTCCATCTAGCGTGAAGTGGTCTGGGTGTGGAGTTAATGCCTTAGGAAACGCTAACATCTAATCTTTAGGAATGAGTGGAGATTGATAAATGACATCCCTAATCCCTACCTAGGCTTTGAATCAATTAAGGAATAACACAAGAATAAGACAGGTGGAATTCAAAATACAGTATCACCATTTTACTGATTAAGCTGGTATTGGAGAATGTGATTTATATTTGTGAGTCAATGAGTTTTACATACCTGAACTTCACTCTTCAACAGATGCATATACACAGTTCTAGGAAGTGCTTCCCTCTGGTTGGAGAACTCAGGCTTTCTATAGGCAGGTCTGTGCCTAAAAAGAAAAGACAGATTGGAAGCCCATGCCCATTATCTCTTTCCAAACATACCAATGAAACTAAGTTACTCTTCCTCCCCTGTGGAAGAGTAAATGAAAAGATAGTAAAGGCCATAGAATTTTGGCCCTCTCCCTGCTAGTACTCTTGGGTGAATGAGAACCGAAAGTCATGAAGAGAAGGCTTTGGTATGACTGATAACAGCTAGTAAATTTCATCATTGAGTTGTCCACTTGGCTATCACAAATGATCTACATTCCTATTGCTCACTTACCTGTAGAATGTATATAGTTGCATTTAATATCAATAATTTTAAATGTTCAGTTTTAAGTTTGTGCTGCAAAGCCAGAACTAAGTATTCCATCAAGTTCAACTCTACTTCTTTTCGTGTCATACAGCCCTGACCCAGTCTTAAACTCCTTGAAAATACAGCTCCTTTTACTTCATGGCATTCCTTAGAATACAATGCATATGATAATTTATTTACAAATGTTTTTTCATCAATGCATGCATGAAGAAAAAATAATAAACAAAAAATAAATCTTGGCCGGGCGCGGTGGCTCAAGCCTGTAATCCCAGCACTTTGGGAGGCCGAGACGGGTGGATCACGAGGTCAGGAGATCGAGACCATCCTGGCTAACACGGTGAAACCCCGTCTCTACTAAAAAATACAAAAAACTAGCCGGGCGAGGTGGCGGGCGCCTGTAGTCCCAGCTACTCGGGAGGCTGAGGCAGGAGAATGGCGTGAACCCGGGAGGCGGAGCTTGCAGTGAGCCGAGATCCGGCCACTGCACTCCAGCCTGGGCGACAGAGCAAGACTCCGTCTCAAAAAAAATAAAAATAAAAAAAATAAATAAATAAATCTCATTGACTCTTCAACATGTAGTTCGAGGAGGAAGAAAATAGAGGAAGCCGCAACTTACAAATAGACGGTGTTCAACTTACTCATTGATATGTCAGTTTGGGGAGATAAGAAAAGATTTTCCTATAAAAGGTCTGAAAGGTAGATTTTTTGATACAAAAGCACACACACACACTCTCACAAAACACTAAAGTAAAATTTATCTAAGGTTCAGATAATAGCTCAGTGCATAAAGAATACTCTGAGCATTTCATTTTTGGACCTAATATAGGACACTAAATGTAAAGAATCAAGCCTTGGCGAGTGGATATGGGGAATAGCAGGGGAGGGGCAGCGTGCTGCAAGCCTGGAGACTGGAAGAGTAGTCCAGGGTTTTCACTTCTCCTCCTTCCTTCCACCCTTGCTACTTAGGTCAGCTTCCTGCTCCAAATCATGCCCAAGCCAATCACTAGAGGTCAGTAGGAAGCCAGAGAAGGGAGCGACTGGTGGGAGGAGAGAGTTCTCTCAAGAGAAAGAGAAGAAGGAAAGGGGAAGAACACACTGTTGTTCAGCAATGGGAAGGAGAGTTCCTGCAGCCAGGCTTGGCTAGGGAAGCCTTTCTTATGTGAGATGCATTCACCGAGCAAACAAGGCTGAAGTAAACCTTTTTGAATTGATCTGAATTCTAGCATGTTAAGATATTTAATGTAGTGACTAAAAACAGACTGGAGTGAGTCAGATCTCAGTTCCAAGGCCTCTACTTACCGCCTATGAGACCTGGGCAAATAATTTCACCTGTGCTTGGTGCACAGTGAACACTAAATATTTACTCCATGCCAGGCACAGCTCTAAGCACTTTACATGTATCATCTCATTTAGTTCTCAATAAAATATGCTTCAGAAACTAAGGCCCAGAGAAGCTAAATGTGGATGCTTATGCAGCCAAATCCCCCTTCTCTGAAAAACCTGCTGCCCCAGCAGCAGATGGAAACACAGCTGATGGACAGCCTTTGGTTCCCTACCCTCCAGAATACTTCAGCTGCAAAGTGCCCTTGTTCACAGTCACACCCCTTTCCACAGTGACCCAATTCCAGTGACTGATCAGTATCGGGGTAATTCCACTCAACTTGGAATAATTCTAAAGGGCCATTCTAGCTCCAGAGCCCCACTGCATGGCGACTCGACTAGTCCTTTACCCAATCTTGCTTTGTCCTCCCCTTCCCTTAGGTATTGGACCAAGGACATTCCCAAATAAATTACCTGCAAACTAAACTCATCTCAGAGTCTGCTTTCTGGAAAATCCAACCTGGGACACCAACTAACTTTCCCAAGGACTCATAGTGAGGATATAGATGCAAGCAGAATGACATCAGAACCTCCTCTCCCAACTGCTATACTCAGCTGCCTCCCATGGTTAACCATTACTACTTCCTTACTCTAAGACACCTACCACAACCTATATACATCCTCTCTTACTTAGGCCTGGCTTTTCACTGGGAAGATGGCTCAAATAAAGATTTTGCCTCCAAACTGCCATGCAGAATTTTAAGTAAACAAGACAAAGCCATCTGCCTTCTGCCTGTAAGGAATAGATCTTATATTAATAGAATCTCTCCTAACTCCATCTCTCTCTCCTTTTTCGAAGTATTGTCAGTGGCATGCCAAGTCAATGGTACAGCAACAGGTTGAGATTTCCTGAGGCCCAGAACTGAAAATTAGAAGAAGAGAAACTCAGGAAGTCTGCAGAGCAAGCTCCCCTCTTTGGCTCTCCCAGCTGAAAACTATGCCTTTTTTTTTTTTTTTTTTTTTTTTTTTTTTTTTTTTTTTTAAGAGAGAGGTTGTCCACCCAACCTATTATTTCAAAAACAAACTATTTTCCTGAAAGATTATTTTCTACAATGCACAGGTTAAAACATTTTCCGAATTAGTATTTTCTTTCACTCTGTTAATATTCTCATTTTAAATAGTGGGCCCAGTTTCCACAATATAGAAGACCAAAATTGCCTAATGTTGATTTAAACAACTATGCTTTCCCAATATTCTCAATACCTTGGTTTTCCTGTTTCCGCTGGAAGCTTATAGCCACCTCTTCTACTATAACAGTATTTTATTTACAAACATGCCACACTGCCTAAAATAACCTAATTAGCAATCTAGAGCACCTGATTCTCAGAGCATTTTCTGACCCTCTAGTCTTCCAGCTGCACTGCTCTTAGTTGTCAATGTAAAGCTATATCCAAAAAACTGTGAAAGTATGAATGGAAACTGGTCTTGACCACAGAAAAAACGGTCACATTCACTCCATTTTCTGGTATGTGACTTAAAAAAAAAAAAAAAAAAAGTTTTGCCTCTCATTAAAGAGTATACAGTTCCAAGTTCCATGGCTGCCAAGAGCCCCTGGATAATCCAACATGTCACCTTTCATGCCATTTCCTGGTGTGCTGGTAATCAGGATGGGGACTACTGCAAACCATCCTAGATCTGCTGCTGCTTTGTGGAGTAATGGTTTTCGGTCATCATACGTTGCATGTTCACTTTGCCTCTGATTGTTCTGGTCATGTCAGTGATGTAGCTTTGATGCAGAGATTGCATTGGAGTAAAGAGGAAAAAGTAGCAAAAATGAGGGAGAAGGATTAGCAGCTCAAAAGCTTTGAAAATCTTTATTTCATTGAAATGAAATCATGCCTTATCTACCTTCCTTAGACATTACTGATCACATTAATTCCAGATGAAAAGTAAGTCAGGGGGTGTCTTTTTTTTTTTTTTTCTTCTTCATGCTGGTGAAGTTTTTCTACAGGAAGTCTGTAAAGGAAAACTCTCTCTCCTAGTGCTCCTAGGCAAAGCATTGAAGTACAATCCCACTGAAATCAAAGTGACAGCTAGAAGGCATTCCTAATCATCAGCTCTCTGAGTTCTTTCAAGACTTGAATACAACTGTCAATTACCAAGTTCTCTTTGTAGGCCAGGCAAGTAACAATGAATTAGAGGTTTAAATCAAACTTGCCAAAAAGACATAGCTACCTTTTCACGATTGCAGTATCAAATGGCAGACCCAAGAACCAATGGTAATTTCCTAAGACATTAGGAAAACATCATCAAAGCAACTGTAAAAGAAATTATTAAAATGTATTTAATGCAAGATCACATGGCCACAGTTGCCATATTTTTCCAAACCCAAAATGAGCACATATCCAATACATAGTCTAACCATAACTCTTCAGTGAATGACTGTTGAATACTAGGCACCATTCTCAACACTGCCCATGCAAGTCCAAATCCAGTGGGGTGGTCAAATAATGAAGTAGTAAACAAAACAAGTAAAGTCCCTGCTTTATGGAAGTTACATTCTAATAACAAATAGATATACAACACAATATTCCATAATAAATGCTATGAGAAAAATGATTATCATGGTCACATCTCTTTCATGCCCTTCACATTGAAATCACATCCAAATCATTGGAAAACAGTGTAAAGGGCTAACAATTGAACCAAAAAATGCTAAGAATTAAGAAATTCCACCATTCCTTTGGAAGGAGGGGTTAGGGGGAGCTGAAAGGCCTCATTCTCTGTGTAGTCATCTCTCACATCACTGATTGAAAGAAGGAGCTGCCTACACACCCAGTCCAGGATCCTTCAATGCCAAATCACATCTAAATCATTATAGACTAGAGAATCTATTCCACTTTTAATGTTTTACATGATGTATCAGTCATTTTCGCACTGCTGATAAACATATGGCAATTTACTTCAGACAGGGCAATTTACAAAAGAAAGAGTTTTTATAGTTCCATGTGGCTGGGGAAGCCTCACAATCATGGTGGAAGGCAAGGAGGAGCAAGTCCATCTTACACAGATGGCAGCAGGCAAAGACAGAATGAGAAAGACACAAAAGCAGAAACCACTGATAAAACCATCAGATCTCATGAGACTTATTCACTACCACGAGAACAGTATGGGAAAAATAGCCCCCATGATTCAATTATCTCCCACTGGGTCCCTCCCACAACACATGAGAATTATGGGAGTACAATTCAAGATGAGATGTGGGTGGGGACACAGCCAAACCATATTATTCTGCCCCAGCCCCTGCCAAATCTCACGTTCTCATGTTTCAAAACCAATCATGCCTTCCCGACAGTCCCCCAAAGTCTTAACTCATTTCAGCATTAACTCAAAAGTCTCATCTGAGACAAAGCAAGTCCCTTCCACCTACAGGCCTATAAAATCAAAAGCAAGCTAGTTATTTACTAGATACA